CAGCCGTTATCAGAGCCCTTCTGCTCCCGAGTGCCACTTCTCACCCACCGCGTCCCCACTCTCAATGAGCTCCAGAGGGATGGAGCGACTCCGGGAGGACGTCACCTGCTCCATCTGCCTGGATGTCTTGGACAACCCCGTCTCCATTGAGTGTGGCCACAACTTCTGCCGGGGCTGTCTCATGGCTCACTGGCACGGGGTCTCGGCCCAGGTGTCCCAGTGCCCCGAGTGCCGGGCTCCCTGCTCCAGGGACAGGATGACCCCAGACACGCGGCTGAGAGCCCTGGTGGAGAAAATCACAGAGCCCCTGCGGGAAGAAATGGAGCCGGTGAGACCAGACAGGCCAGATAAGGGGAAGGGGCGCAGGCTCCCACTGGCCCAGGGCAGGGGACTGGCTGACTCAGGGGGTGGAAATTGGGCATGGGGCTTTCATCCAGAGGCGTGAACTGGCTGGCTCTGGGATGGGGTCCCAGCTCTGACCCTGCTCTGTCCCTGCAGCAGGGGCCGGGGGCTCAGCGGGAGCTGGGGCGCCCGGTGCAGCTGATGCGTCTGGACGAGGAAGGGGGCCTGACCCTGGACGAGGAGGCCCTGAGCCGCTGCCTGGAGCAGGGTGGGGTGGGGGACGCCCTCGTCTGCCTGGTGTCCATCATCGGGGAGCAGCGCCGGGGCAAATCCTTCCTGATGAACTGCCTGCTGCGCCGGCTCCGGAGCCCGGTGAGTGGGGACGGGAGCCCCAGCTAATGCCTCACTCCCTGAACCAGAGACCCCGCCCACCCCAGCCAGGGCCCTGCCCCTTGCAACACAAACCCCACCCACTCCAACAGGGGCACCCTCCCCTGCCCCCTACAGCAAAGGTCCCGTCTCCCTAGCCAGCGTTCTCCCCCTGTACCAGGCCCATGGCAGAGCAACTGAAGCCCCACCCTGCAGCCATGGCCCCTCCCCTTGCACCACAGGCCCCACCCTTCAGTGATGGCCCCTCCCCCTGCACCACAGGCTCCACCCTTCAGCCATGGCCCCTCCCCCTGCACCACAGGCTCCACCCTTCAGCCATGGTCCCACCCCTGCATAGCAGATCTCACCCTCCAGCCATGGCCCCTCTCCATGACCCCCAGGAGCCCACCCCGTCCCCCAGTGTCCTACACCCTACACCCTCAGAACCCCAGACCCAAACCCCGTTCCCTTCTGACCTTGCCCTGGTCACCCCCTACAGGAGGCTACGGATGCATCATGGATGGGCCAAGAGGACGAGGCCCTGGGGGGATTTGAATGTTGCCATGGGA